TATGGGTCTCTGTGTGAGTCTCTGGGTCTCTGTGTGAGTCTATGGGTCTCTGTGTGAGTTTATGGGTCTCTGTGTGAGTCTATGGGTCTCTGTGTGAGTCTATGGGTCTCTGAGTCTCTGGGTCTCTGTGTGAGCCTATGGGTCTCTGTGTGAGTCTATGGGTCTCTGGGTGAGGCTATGGGTCTCTGTGTGAGTCTATGGGTCTCTGTGTGAGTCTATGGGTCTCTGTAGAGTCTATGGGTCTCTGTGTGAGTCTATGGGTCTCTGTGTGAGTCTATGGGTCTCTGTGTGAATCTATGGGTCTCTGTGTGAGTATATGGGTCTCTATGTGCGTCTATGGGTCTCTGTAGAGTCTATGGGTCTCTGTGTGAGTCTATGGGTCTCTGTGTGAGTCTATGGGTCTCTGTGTGAGGCTATGGGTCCTCTGTAGAGTCTATGGGTCTCTATGTGCGTCTCTGGTCTCTGTGTGAGTCTCTGGGTCTCTGTGTGAGTCTATGGGTCTCTGTGTGCGTCTATAGGTCTCTGTAGAGTCTATGGGTCTCTGTGTGAGTCTATGGGTCTCTGTGTGCGTCTATGGATCTCTGTAGAGTCTATGGGTCTCTGTGTGAGTCTATGGGTATCTGGGTGAGGCTATGGGTCTCTATGTGCGTCTATGGGTCTCTGTGTGAGGCTATGGGTCTCTGTAGAGTCTATGAGTATCTGGGTGAGGCAATGGGTCTTTGTGTGAGTCTATGGGTCTTTGTGTGAGCCTGTGGGTCTCTGTGTGGTGAGTCTATGGGGCTCTGTGTGAGGCTATGGGTCTCTGTGTGAGTCTATGGGTCTCTGTGTGAGTCTATGGGTCTCTGTGTGAGTCTTTGGGTCTCTGTGTGAGTCTATGGGTCTCTGTGTGAGTCTATGGGCCTCTATGTGAGTCTATGGGTCTCTGTGTGAGTCTATGGGTCTCTGTGTGAGTCTCTGGGTCTCTGTGTGAGTCTATGGGTCTCTGTGTGAGTTTATGGGTCTCTGTGTGAGTCTATGGGTCTCTGTGTGAGTCTATGGGTCTCTGAGTCTCTGGGTCTCTGTGTGAGCCTATGGGTCTCTGTGTGAGTCTATGGGTCTCTGGGTGAGGCTATGGGTCTCTGTGTGAGTCTATGGGTCTCTGTGTGAGTCTATGGGTCTCTGTAGAGTCTATGGGTCTCTGTGTGAGTCTATGGGTCTCTGTGTGAGTCTATGGGTCTCTGTGTGAATCTATGGGTCTCTGTGTGAGTATATGGGTCTCTATGTGCGTCTATGGGTCTCTGTAGAGTCTATGGGTCTCTGTGTGAGTCTATGGGTCTCTGTGTGAGTCTATGGGTCTCTGTGTGAGGCTATGGGTCTCTGTAGAGTCTATGGGTCTCTATGTGCGTCTCTGGGTCTCTGTGTGAGTCTCTGGGTCTCTGTGTGAGTCTATGGGTCTCTGTGTGCGTCTATAGGTCTCTGTAGAGTCTATGGGTCTCTGTGTGAGTCTATGGGTCTCTGTGTGCGTCTATGGATCTCTGTAGGAGTCTATGGGTCTCTGTGTGAGTCTATGGGTATCTGGGTGAGGCTATGGGTCTCTATGTGCGTCTATGGGTCTCTGTGTGAGGCTATGGGTCTCTGTAGAGTCTATGAGTATCTGGGTGAGGCAATGGGTCTTTGTGTGAGTCTATGGGTCTTTGTGTGAGCCTGTGGGTCTCTGTGTGGTGAGTCTATGGGGCTCTGTGTGAGGCTATGGGTCTCTGTGTGAGTCTATGGGTCTCTGTGTGAGTCTATGGGTCTCTGTGTGAGTCTACGGGTCTCTGTGTGAGTCTATGGGTCTCTGTTTGAGTCTATGGGTCTCTGTGTGAGTCTATAGGTCTCTGTGTGAGGCTATGGGTATCTGTGTGAGTCTATGGGTCTCTGTAGGAGTCTATGGGTCTCTGTGTGAGTCTATGGGTATCTGTGTGAGTGTATGGGTCTCTGTGTGAGTCTCTGGGTCTCTGTGTGAGGCTATGGGTATCTGTGTGAGTCTATGGGTCTCTGTAGGAGTCTATGGGTCTCTGTGTGAGTCTATGGGTCTCTGTGTGAGTCTATGGGTCTCTGTGTGAGTCTATAGGTCTCTGTGTGAGGCTATGGGTATCTGTGTGAGTCTATGGGTCTCTGTAGGAGTCTATGGGTATCTGTGTGAGTCTATGGGTCTCTGTGTGAGTGTATGGGTCTCTGTGTGAGTCTCTGGGTCTCTGTGTGAGGCTATGGGTATCTGTGTGAGTCTATGGGTCTCTGTAGGAGTCTATGGGTCTCTGTGTGAGTCTCTGGGTCTCTGTGTTAGGCTCTGGGTCTCTGTGTGAGCCTATGGGTCTCTGTGTGAGTCTATGGGTCTCTGTGTGAGTCTATGGGGCTCTGTGTGAGTCTATGGGTCTCTGTGTGAATCTGTGGGTCTCTGTGTGAGTTTATGGGTCTCTGTGTGAGTCTATGGGTCTCTGTGTGAGTCTATGGGTCTCTGTGTGAGTCTATGGGTCTCTGTGTGAGTATATGGGTCTCTGTGTGAGTCTATGGGTCTCTGTGTGAGTCTCTGGGTCTCTGTGTGACAATGCCCATAGACTCAACAATGCCCATATACTCAACTCTGCCCATAGACTCAACACTGCCCATAGACTCAACACTGACCCCATAGACTCAACACTGCCCATAGACTCAACACTGTCCATAGACTCAACACTGCCCATAGACTCAACACTGCCCATAGACTCAACACTACCCATGCGTCTCGGTGTATCCGTGTCTGTGCCACAGTCGCCCCCTACCTCTGGTGAAGGTCGCCTCGCACTGCGGGGAATCTCGGTGAGCTAGGAGATGTTGACTACCTCGCCTGGTACGCAGGAGGTCGTGTGTTCGTTAACATCTTCTAGCCACCGTGATGATGATAAGAGAGACGCAGACTCCAAATAGACAGCGGTAGTCAACATCTCCTAGCCACCGTGATGATGGTGGTGGTGGTGGAACCCACGACATCCTGTACACCAGGCGAGGTAGTCAACATCTCCTAGCCACCGTGATGATGATGGTGGTGGTGGTGGAACCCACGACCTCCTGCGCACCAGGCGAGGTAGTTAACATCTCCTAGCCACCGTGATAATGGTGGTGGTGGAACCCACGATCTCCTGTACCCCTGGCGAGGTAGTTAACATCTCCTAGCCACCGTGACGATGATGATGGTGGTGGTGGTGGAACCCACGACCTCCTGTATTCCAGGCGAGGTAGTCAACATCTCCTAGCCACCGTGATGATGATGGTGGTGGTGGTGGAACCCACGACCTCCTGTACACCAGGTTAGGTAGTCAACATCTCCTAGCCACCGTGGTGGTGGTGGAACCCACGACCTCCTGTAGACCAGGCGAGGTAGTCAACATCTCCTAGCCACCGTGATGATGATGGTGGTGGTGGTGGAACCCACGACCTCCTGTACACCAGGCGAGGTAGTCAACATCTCCTAGCCACCGTGATGATGATGATATGTTGTTTTGATAATATGAAGTACCTATTAATTATTTGGTTAGTCACAGTTAATGAACTATATATAATGTAAGTACATTATGTTGATCTGATAATATGAAGTACCTACTAACGCTTGGGTTAGTCACAGCTAATGAACGATATAAAGTACTATTTCGATTTAAAGCTTTCGTGACTGCAGGGATCCATCTTCTTGGTTCTTTCGGTAAAGTCACGTAGAAGGGAAATAATAAAATAATAAAAATAAAACTTAATAAAATACAATTCTCACGACGTTTCGGCCACAACGCAAGCAGCCGTCCTCAGGTGTCTCCCCGACAGACCTGTTCTTCACCTGAGGACGGCTGCTTGCGTTATGGCCGAAACGTCGTGAGAATTATTTTATTATGTTTTATTGTTATTATTTGATTACCTCCCTTCTATTCATATTCTTAGGTTTTTTTGGTAAAGTCACGTAGGTAAAACATTAAAATTAATAAAAGTAAAATAAAAATCACGACGTTTCGGAGGCAACACAAGCCTCCGTCTTCAGGTGGAACCGCCACAGCCACGACAGCTGTATCAACGTGACTTCATCGAAAGAACCAAGAAGATATATAAAATACATTATGTTGATCTGATAACATGCAGTGCCTACTAACGCTTGGGCTAGTCACAGCTAATCAAGATGCAGTGAAATGCCTCAATGTTTAGTTTATTTTCTTGGTTCTTTCGGTAAAGTCACGTAAGAACCAAGAAGATGAATCCCTGCGGTCACGAAAGCTTTAAATCAAAGTTTAGCTTATTATCCACCCCCCCCCCCCAGTTCACGCGACTCCTAGCAAACAAATAAGTATAACCCATAAAAACAAAGTTTTTCACTATAAATCCTTTATATGCGTGGCATCGGGGCAGCTAGAGTCCTCTCGTCCTCTGGCTTGAGATGGCTGCCACCTATGGGTCAGATGATTGTCTGCCAGTATTAAGCAATTGGTAATTAAATATTTAATTTGCTTTCCCTAAACAGTGTAAAATTTTGGAAACATTTTTCACGAACATTAATTGTCTCGCACAACGAGTCTGTGTGCTAAACGTCAGCTCGATTGGATCGCGGGAAGTGGGTTAAAAACGACCGAAAGATTTGCACGGTCCTAAGCAAGCAAGCAAGCAAGCGAACTTAATATAAAGGATTTAAAAATTAACCCGTAAAAACAAAGTTTTTCACTATAAATCCTTTATATGCGTGGCATCGGGGCAGCTAGAGTCCTCTCGTCCTCTGGCTTGAGATGGCTGCCACCTATGGGTCAGATGATTGTCTGCCAGTATTAAGCAATTGGTAATTAAATATTTAATTTGCTTTCCCTAAACAGTGTAAAATTTTGGAAACATTTTTCACGAACATTAATTGTCTCGCACAACGAGTCTGTGTGCTAAACGTCAGCTCGATTGGATCGCGGGAAGTGGGTTAAAAACGACCGAAAGATTTGCACGGTCCTAAGCAAGCAAGCAAGCAAGCGAACTTAATATAAAGGATTTAAAAATTAACCCGTAAAAACAAAGTTTTTCACTATAAATCCTTTATATGCGTGGCGGCTAAAGTCCTCTCGTCCTCTGGCTTGAGATGGCTGCCACCTATGGGTCAGATGATTGCCTGCCACCATTAAGCAATTGGTCATTAAATATAATTAATTTTTTTCCCTAAAAAGTGTAAAATTTTGGGAAAATTTTTTTACGAAAATCAATTGTCACGCACAACGAGTCTGTGTGCAAAACGTCAGCTCGATTGGATCACGGGAAGTGGGTTAAAAAACGACCGAAAGATTTGCACGGTCCTAAGCAAGCAAGCAAGCGAGCGAACTTAATATAAAGGATTTAAAAAAACACTCACCCCGCTCCAAAACGCACTCGACCCCACCAGGCGTAGAGCGAGCGACCGTCCAAACGATGCTGGAATCCGGCAACATGGAGGAGCGCGACTTCACATGCCCCGTGTGCCTGGAGCTTTTCGTCGACCCCGTGACCCTCAACTGCGGCCACACCTTCTGCTCGGCCTGCATCGAGCGCCACTGGGGCACGGAATCGGCGGCACGTGGCGGCTTCACGTGCCCCGAGTGTCGTCAAACCTACCCCGCCAAACCCGAGTTGCGCAAGAGCATCCTCGTGGCAAACCTCGTGGCTCAGATGCGCAGGCCGCGTGATCACACCCACAACCCCCGCTGTGACGCGGAGGCGTGGCTCTATGACGGAGGCGTCGCCGTGGCGACGGGGTCGGTGGGCGTGGTCCCGTGCGGCTGTTGCCCGGGTGGGGCTCGCCCGGCCGTCAAGAGTTGCGCTCACTGCGAGATGTCCTTCTGCGAGATGCACCTGGCGCCTCACCGGCAGGTGATGTTTGTGGGGGGGGTGGTTGTGATGTTGGTGGTGATGCTCAGTCGCTCGCGCGTCGCACTCACCTGCTCGCTCGGCCACTCGCTCACCTGCTCATTCACCCACTAACCTGCTCACCCACTCACCTGCTCGGCCACTCGCTCACCCGCTCACTCACCTGCTCGCCCAGTCGCTCACCCGCTCACTCACCTGCTCGCCCAGTCGCTCACCTGCTCACTCACCTGCTCACCCAGCCACTCACTCACCCGCTCGCTCATTCACCCACTCACCTGCTCGCCCATCCACTCACCCGCTCGCTCGCTCATTCACCCACTCATCTGCTCACCCACTCACTTACTCACCCACTCACCTGGTTGCCCAGTCGCTCACCTGCTCACCCAGCTACTCACCCGCTCGCTCGCTCGCTCATTCACCCACTCACCTGCTCGCCCAGTCGCTCACCCGCTCACTCACCTGCTCGCCTGGTAAGTCGCTCACCTGCTCATTCACCCACTCACCTGCTCGCCCAGTCGCTCACCCGCTCACTCACCTGCTCGCCCAGTCGCTCACCCGCTCACTCACCTGCTCGCCCAGTCGCTCACCGGCTCACTCACCTGCTCACCCAGTCGCTCACCCGCTCACTCACGTGCTCGCCTGGTCAGTCGCTCACCTGCTCATTCACCCACTCACCTGCTCGCCCAGTCGCTCACCCGCTCACTCACCTACTCGCCCAGCCATTACCACTCACTCAAGTGCCCGCTCAGCCACTCTCCCACTCGCTCATTCACCCACTCACCTGCTCGCTCGCTCATTCACCCACTCACCTACTCGTCCAGTGGCTCACCCGCTCACTCACCTGCTCGCCCAGTTGATCACTGGCTCATTCACCTGCTCGCCCGGCCAGTCGCTCACCCGCTCGCCCAGTCGCTCACCCGCTCGCTCACCTGCATCGCCCAGTAATTTACCCACTCACTCACGTGCCCACCCAGCCACTCCTATACTCACTCATTCAGCCACTCACATGCCCACTCAGCCACTCAATCTACTCACTCATTCACCCCACTCACCTGCTCATCCACCACTCACCCGCTCGCTCGCTCATTCACCCACTCACCTACTCGCCCAGTCGCTCACCCGCTCACTCACCTACTCGCCCAGTCGCTCACCCGCTCACTCACCTACTCGCCCAGTCGCTCACCCACTCACTAACCTGCTCGCCCAGTCGCTCACCCGCTCACTCACCTATTCGCCCAGCCATTACCACTCACTCAAGTGCCCGCTCAGCCACTCTCCCACTCGCTCATTCACCCACTCACCTGCTCACCCAGCCACTCACCCGCTCACTCATTCACCCGCTCACCCAATCACCCACCCATCCATTAACCCATCCATCCACCAACTCGCCCGTTCATTTTTTCAGAATCAGAATCAGAAAGGGTTTTATTCGCCATGAAAGTTCGCACAGACAAGGAATTTACTTTGGCCGGAAGGTGCATACATTCAACCATTTAGGAATCTTAAATCTTAAATAAGTGTCGATTTAAAGCTTTCGTGACTGCAGGGATTCATCTTCTTGGTTCTTTCGGTAAAGTCACGTAGAAGGGAAGTAAAAAAATAATAAAAATAAAACATTAAATAATTCTCACTAAAATAAAACATAATAAAATAATTATTTCATTATGTTTTATTTTTATTATTTTATTACTTCCCTTCTACGTGACTTTACCGAAAGAACCAAGAAGACTTAAATAAGTGGTTTACAAGTCGAACTATACTATTGAGCGCCCCCGCTCACTCCGCGTTGTTCGGTTTGTTCGTTTTATTTTATTTTTTAAACGAACCACCCTGGAACCACCCGCGCCCCCCCCCCCGCAGGTGCCCCACCTGAAGGCGCACGAGCTGGTGCCCCCCATTGGGGGGCTGGGCATGCGCGAGTGCAGGGAGCACGGGCGCCGCGTGGAGCTCTTCTGCCGCAGCGACTCACAGCTGCTGTGCGGCGCCGCCTGCGCCACCCTGCACAGCCAGCACGAGCTGGTGCCCGTCCACCAGGAGCACGCCCACAGACTGGTGGGTGGGCGGGCGGAAGGGTGGGTGGGTGGGTTGGTGGGCGGGTGGGTGGATGGGTTGGTGGATGGGTGGGTGGGTGAATGGGTGGGTGGGTGGATGGGTGGGTGGGCGGGCGGAAGGGTGGGTGAATGGGTGGGTGGATGGGTGGGTGGATGGGTGGGTGGGCGGGCGGAAGGGTGGGTGGGTGGATGAATGGGTGGGTGGATGGGTGGGTGGGCGGGCGGGCGGAAGGGTGGGTGGGTGGGTTGGTGGATGAGTGAGTGAGTGGGTGGGTGGGTGGGTGGGTGAGTGAGTGGGTGGGTGGGTGGGTGGATGGGTGGGTGGGTGAGTGGGTTGGTGGGTGGGTTGGTGGGTGGGTGAGTGAGTGAGTGGGTGGGTGAGTGAGTGGGTGAGTGGGTGGGTGGGTTGGTGGGTGGGTGAGTGAGTGAGTGAGTGGGTGGGTGAGTGAGTGGGTGAGTGGGTGGGTGGGTTGGTGGGTGGGCGGGTGGACTGCTGTGTGGCGCCGCCTGCGCCACGCTGCACGGGCAGCACGAGCTGGTGCCCGTCCACCAGGAGCACGCCCACAGACTGGTGGGTGGGCGGGTGGGTGGGTGGAAGAGTGGGTGGGTGGGTGGGTGGGTGGTTGGGTGGGTGGGTGGGTTGGTGGATGGGTGGAAGGGTGGGTGGGTTGGTGGGCAGGTGGGTGAGTGGGTGGGTGGAAGGGTGGGTGGGTCGGTGGAAGAGTGAGTGGGTGGGTGAGTGTGTGGGTGGAAGGGTGGTTGGATGAGTGGGTGGATGGGTGGGTGGGTGAGTGGGTGGATGGGTGGGTGGGTGGATGGGTGAGTGGGTTGGCGGATGGGTGGGTGAGTGGGTGGAAGGGTGGATGGGTGAGTGGGTGGGTGGTTGGATGAGTGGGTGGGTGGGTGGGTTGGTGGAAGGGTGGGTGGGTGAGTGAGTGGGTGGGTGGGTGGGTGGGTGGACTGCTGTGCGGCGCCGCCTGCGCCACATTGCACGGGCAGCACGAGCTGGTGCCCGTCCACCAGGAGCACGCCCACAGACTGGTGGGTGGGCGGGTGGGTGAGTGGGTGGGTGGGTGAGTGGGTGGGTGGGTTGGTGGGTGGGCGGGTGGGTGGGTGGGTGGGTTGGTGGATGGGTGGGTTGGTGGGTGGGTGGGTGGGTTGGTGGATGGGTGGGTGGGTGGGTGGGTGGGTGAGTGAGTGAGTGGGTGGGTGAGTGAGTGGGTGGGCGGGTGGGTGGGTGGGTTGGCGGGTGAGTTGGTGGGTGGGTGGGTGGGAGGGTGGGTTCGTGGGCGGATGGGTTGGTGGCTGGGTTGACGGATTGGTGGCCGGGTTAGCAGATTTGCCGATGGGTGGGTGGTAGACCAAGGCAGGCGTGCGTGATGCTGGCAACCCACCACCTCGCGTGCCACAGTCCCTGCCTCCATAGGCGCTGCTGCTGCTGCTCACTTGCGAGCAGCACTTGCCCCTACAGTCTGCTAGAGGCCACACGGGGGACCTTTGTCTTTGGTGCAGGATCAGCTGGGCTCGTTCAAGGAGACGCTGCTGACACGCGAGACGTGGATGGCTTCGTACGTGGATGGTGCGGGGCGCTCATCAGACGCACTGAAGGTGAGACGCGGGGTCGTTGTTGTTGTCGTTGTTGTTGGTGGTGGTGGTGGTAATTTCATGGGGAGCGGTGGCGCAGAGGTTAGCGAACCCCGTTACAAAAGGCGAACATTGAGAAAGCAAGGGAAGTATGAAAGTTCTCCTTTCCTTCCTCTTCCATCTCTACCCATGCTCTCTCTCCCTGACACGTTTTTTTTACGAGGAGTCATGTTTGCATAGACCACAATACCTGCAGTCATAATGCAAACAAACAAAAAAACACAACTCTGATAATGTATGTGCACTGTCCTTGAAGTTGATTGGTCCACACCCGAGACAGCTTTCCTTAGAGCCTAGTCTCATATGGGTTGGACCAGATGACGCCAAAAGGCGCATAACTCAAAGACAATGCACCATCACAGTACGAGAGCTCGGGGTTATAATTTACACCATTGGAACCTCATTTGCCAGTAGCAAAATATGATAATTGTTTTTTACCCTTTCATCTGGCAACAAAACTGAGACCTTTTTTACAAGGAGTCATGTTTGCATAGACCACAATACCTGCAGTCATAATGCAAACAAAAAACATAACTCTGATAATGTACACACTGTCCTTGAAGTTGATTGGTCCACACCCGAGACAGATTTCCTTAGATACTCTTAGTTTTTTCGGTAAAGTCACGTAGGTAAAAAATTAAATAAAAATTAAGAAAAAGTTATTATTATTTTATTATTTTATTTTATTTTTTAGTTTTTATTTCATTTTTTTCCCACGTGACTTTACCGAAAAAACTAAGAACATGAATCCTTGCAGTCACGAAAGCTTCAAATCTACAGCTTTCCTTAGAGCCGAGTCTCACCCTGCTGTTAGACCAGATGACTCCAATATAACAGCCACTTCCTGTACTTTTGAGGACATCTAATGGCACAGATGACTCCAATTTAATAGCCACTTTCTGTACTTTTGAGGACATCTAATGGCACAGATGACTCCAATTTAATAGCCACTTTCTGTACTTTTGAGGACATCTAATGGCACAGATGACTCCAATTTAATAGCCACTTTCTGTACTTTTGAGGACATCTAATGGCACAGATGACTCCAATATAACAGCCACTTCCTGTACTTTTGAGTACATGTAATGGCACAGATGACTCCAATGTAACAGCCACTTCCTGTACTTTTGAGTACAAGTGTTGTGTAGTTCCGACGGACGTACTCGTAGACGGAGGTAAGTTAAGGGCTTCCGCCAGGGTTTATTAAAGCTTATCAATAACACACACCAGGGTACACAACTCCCAGGGTCTAGGGATCCTACTCTGAGTCCGGGTCCCTGCCGGCTAGCTCCGGTCTCTCTCTCTCGTGTCGGATCGTGGACTCTGCCGACTCCACCGAGCGGAGAGAGAAGCACCTCTACGGCTACCACCGGCTTCTCCCCAGACTCCCTATGGCACCGGACGGTCTCGGAATCGCTCTCTTCTCCGGCAGCTGTGTGCGGAGGAGACCCGCTCGCGCCTGCTCAGCAAGTACGACGAGTTCATGCGGGCCTTGTCGGAGGAGCGCGACGAGGCCTTGAAGTTGATTGGTCCACACCCGAGACAGCTTTCCTTAGATACTCTTAGTTTTTTCGGGTAAAGTCACGTAGGTGAAAAAATGAAATAAAAATTAATAAGTAAAATTTTTTTTTTCTTAATTTTAATTTCATTTTTTTCCTACGTGACTGTACCGAAAATAATCTAAGAGTATGAATCCTTGCAGTCACGAAAGCTTCCTTAGAGCCTAGTCTCACCCTGCTGTTGGACCAGTTGACTTCAACGTAATAGCCACTTCCTGTACTTTTGAGTACATCTAACATCACCGGACCGTCTTGGCATCGCTCTCTTCTCCGGCAGCTGTGTGCGGAGGAGACCCGCTCGCGCCTGCTCAGCAAGTACGACGAGCTGATGCGGGCCTTGTCGGAGGAGCGCGACGAGGCCTTGCGGTCCGCGGGCCGCGAGCGGGACGACGGCCTGGCCCAGGTGGCCGGTGGCCTCGCGCGGTGCGAGGTGGCGCTGGGAGGGGTGCGCGCGGCGCTGGCGGCCGTCGCTCGACTCGAGGGCACGCAGGGACACGCCGCTTTCCTGGCGGTACGTGGTCACTGGTGGTCACTGGTGGTCACTGGTGGTCACTGGTGGTCACTCGCAGTCACTCACAGTCACTCACAGTCACTAGTGGTCACTGGTGGTCACTCGTGGTCACTGGCGGTCACTGGTGGTCACTGGTGGTCACTGGTGGTCACTCGTGGTCACTGGTGGTCACTGGTGGTCACTGGTGGTCACTGGGGGTCACTCGTGGTCACTGGTGGTCACTGGTGGTCACTGGGGGTCACTCGTGGTCACTGGTGGTCACTGGTGGTCACTTGCGGTCACTCGCAGTCACTCACAGTCACTAGCGGACACTAGCGGTCACTGGCGGTCACTGGTGGTCACTGGTGGTCACTGGTGGTCGCTGGTGGTCACTGGCGGTCACTGGCGGTCACTGGTGGTCACTGGTGGTCACTGGTGGTCGCTGGTGGTCACTGGTGGTCACTGGTGGTCACTGGTGGTCACTGGTGGTCATTCGTGGTCACTGGTGGTCACTGGTGGTCACTGGCGGTCACTGGTGGTCACTCGCCGGTCACTGGTGGTCGCTGGTGGTCACTGGTGGTCACTGGTGGTCACTGGTGGTCACTGGTGGTCATTCGTGGTCACTGGTGGTCACTGGTGGTCACTGGCGGTCACTGGTGGTCACTCGCCGGTCACTGGTGGTCGCTGGTGGTCACTGGTGGTCACTGGTGGTCACTGGTGGTCACTGGTGGTCACTGGTGGTCACTGGTGGTCACTGGTGGTCACTGGCGGTCACTGGTGGTCACTCGTGGTCACTGGTGGTCACTCGTGGTCACTGGTGGTCACTGGTGGTCACTGGCGGTCACTGGTGGTCACTGGTGGTCACTCGTGGTCACTGGTGGTCACTGGTGGTCACTCGTGGTCACTGGTGGTCACTCGTGGTCACTCGTGGTCACTGGTGGTCACTGGTGGTCACTGGCAGTCACTGGCGGTCACTCGTGGTCACTGGTGGTCACTCGTGGTCACTGGCGGTCACTGGTGGTCACTGGTGGTCACTGGTGGTCACTGGTGGTCACTGGTGGTCACTGGTGGTCACTCGTGGTCACTCGTGGTCACTGGTGGTCACTCGTGGTCACTCGTGGTCACTCGTGGTCACTGGCGGTCACTGGTGGTCACTCGTGGTCACTGGTGGTCACTCGCGGTCACTGGTGGTCACTGGTGGTCTCTGGTGGTCACTGGTGGTCTCTGGTGGTCACTCGTGGTCACTGGCGGTCACTGGTGGTCACTCGTGGTCACTGGTGGTCACTCGTGGTCACTCGTGGTCACTGGTGGTCACTCGTGGTCACTGGTGGTCACTGGTGGTCACTCGCGGTCACTGGTGGTCACTGGTGGTCACTGGTGGTCACTCGCGGTCACTCGTGGTCACTGGTGGTCACTGGTGGTCACTCGTGGTCACTGGTGGTCACTGGTGGTCACTGGTGGTCACTCGCGGTCACTCGTGGTCACTGGTGGTCACTGGTGGTCACTGGTGGTCACTCGCGGTCACTCGTGGTCACTGGTGGTCACTGGTGGTCACTCGCGGTCACTCGTGGTCACTGGTGGTCACTGGTGGTCACTGGTGGTCACTCGCGGTCACTGGCGGTCACTGGTGGTCACTGGTGGTCACTCGCGGTCACTGGTGGTCACTGGTGGTCACTGGTGGTCACTGGTGGTCACTCGTGGTCACTCGTGGTCACTGGTGGTCACTGGTGGTCACTGGCGGTCACTGGTGGTCACTCGTGGTCACTGGTGGTCACTCGTGGTCACTCGTGGTCACTGGTGGTCACTGGCGGTCACTGGTGGTCACTCGTGGTCACTGGCGGTCACTGGTGGTCACTGGTGGTCACTGGTGGTCACTCGTGGTCACTGGTGGTCACTCGTGGTCACTGGTGGTCACTCGTGGTCACTGGTGGTCACTGGTGGTCACTCGTGGTCACTGGTGGTCACTGGTGGTCACTGGTGGTCACTCGTGGTCACTCGTGGTCACTGGTGGTCACTGGCGGTCACTGGTGGTCACTCGTGGTCACTGGTGGTCACTCGTGGTCACTCGTGGTCACTGGTGGTCACTGGTGGTCACTGGCGGTCACTGGCGGTCACTGGTGGTCACTGGTGGTCACTCGTGGTCACTCGTGGTCACTGGTGGTCACTGGCGGTCACTGGTGGTCACTGGTGGTCACTGGGTCCTGGGTCACTCGTGGTCACTGGTGGTCACTGGTGGTCACTGGTGGTCACTCGTGGTCACTGGTGGTCACTGGTGGTCACTCGTGGTCACTGGTGGTCACTGGTGGTCACTCGTGGTCACTCGTGGTCACTGGTGGTCCCTCGTGGTCACTGGTGGTCACTGGTGGTCACTCGTGGTCACTCGTGGTCACTGGCGGTCACTGGTGGTCACTCGTGGTCACTGGTGGTCACTGGTGGTCACTGGCGGTCACTCACCGTCACTCGCCATCACTCACCATCAATCGCCATCACTCCACTCATCGTTACTCCTGGTACAAGGCCATCCCCCCCCCCCATCACCACAACTCAGCAACCCTCAACCATCACCCTCCATTGCCACACCCGTCTCTCTGGCCATCGCCCCCCACCCACCCACCCATCACCCCCACCCACCCATCACTCCCACCCACCCATTGCCCCCACCCACCCACGCATCGCCCCCACCCACCCACCCATCGCCCCCACCCACCCATCGCACCCACCCACCCATCGCACCCACCCACCCATTCATCGCCCCCACCCACCCACCCGTCACCCCCACCCCCACTTCTATTATGATGATTGCTTGATGATGGGGTGGTAGTAATTGGTGGTGGTGGTGGTGATGTTGGTGGTGGTGATGCTGGTGGTGGTGATGTTGGTGGTTGATGTTGGTGGTGGTGATGTTGGTGGTGGTGATGCTGGTGGTGGTGCTGGTGGTGGTCATGCTGGTGGTGGTGGTGGTGGATGTTGGTGGTGGTGCTGGTGGTGGTGGTGCATGCTGGTGGTGGTCATGTTGGTGATGGTGGTGCTGGTGGTGGTGGTGATGGTCATGCTGATGGTGGTGGTGATCCTGGTGGTGGTGGTGGTGATCCTGATGGTGGTGTTGATTAATTGGTCAAGATGACATCTGTATAAAATGACGCTGTACCATCACCATTGTTGTTGTCATCTTCATCGCAATTATCATCATCAAAAGTATTCCCGATATGAATCTTACGCGTGCGTCTGTGCGTCTGTGCGTCTCTGTGTGTGTCTGTGTGTGTGTTTGTGTGTCTGTGTGTGTGTCTGTGCGTGTGTCTGTGTGTGTGTCTGTGTGTGTGTCTGTGTGTGTGTCTGTGTGTGTGTGTGTCTGTGTGTGTGTGTCTGTGTGTGTGTGTGTCTGTGTGTCTGTGTGTGCGTCTGTGTGTGTGTGCGAATTCTGCAGAAGTGCACTCAAGAATGGCAGAGGTAAGCCGAGATACGTTTTCAAAGCTGTTGCTCAGATCACCGGTCAAGTGATCATACGTCACAGGGCACGTGTTGTCACATGTGGCACGTGTTGTCACATTTATATGGCACGTGTTGTTACATATGACACGTGTTATTACACGTGGCACGTGCGACCTCTGGGCTAGACTGACCATCACCAGTCCGCTACAAGCCGGCTCTGACCAGAGCCTCGGTTGACGCTCCCAGGGTGCTGGGTCCAGTCTTCAGGTCTTCGAACGCCTTCAGGGCTTGAGTTGGCGAACACTGCCAGACCCATCTTCTTGGTTCTTTCGGTAAAGTCATCACGTAGAAGGGAGATGATGAAATAATAAAAATAAACATAATTAAATAATTCTCACGACGTTTCGGCCACAACGCAAGCAGCCGTCCTCAGGTGAAGAACAGGTCTGTCAGAAAGACAGCGTCTGAAACAGACGTCCGAAACAGACGCTGCCTTTCCGACAGACCTGTTCTTCACCCGAGGACGCGGCTGCTTGCGTTGTGGCCGAAACGTCGTGAGAATTATTTTATAATGTTTTATTTTTATTATTTCATCATCTCCCTTCTACGTGACTTTACCCAAAGAACCAAGATGACCACGCCATCCATTCGCAGCACCCCCCCCCCAGGACCCCCCCCCACCCCCCCACTCCTCCACCAACCCCCCCACCTCCTCCGCCCCCCCACCGACGCAAGATCCGCGTGTTTCCCTGCAGCATAGCGGCGCTTGTGGCCACGCCGGTGGAGCCCGCCCCTGTCCCGAGCCTCTCGCTGGTGACGGTGGCGCCGCTGGAACGACGTCTGGACGAGATGCTCGCCACCTGCAAAGCCTCCCGCGTGACTGCTGCTGCTTCCGCTCCTCCGGCTGCTTCCGCTGCTGCTGCTACTGCTGCTGCTACTGCTGCTTCCGCTCCTCCGGCTGCTACTGCTACTGCTGCTGCTACTGCTGCTGCTACTGCTGCTACTTCGTTGCGGCCTTGCGTGGCGGCTCGGCCATCGACGGCCTCAGGAGCGGCCGTGCAGCAGCCGCATCATCATCCCCACTCCTCCTCCTCTTCCTCCACCTCTTCGACGATCACAGAAGAACTCAATCGGCTGATGATGGGCCGTGTCACTCCGCCACTGCGTCCGGCTCCGACTGCACCGTCGTCGTCGTCCGGTCCCCGACAACCGAGGAGCTTCCCGGTCGCGCCTTCGACGCCGGGCAAGGCCCCGCCACCACCGTCGAAAGGGAGGCGGCTGCCTTCTCCGCAGCTCGCGACGGCGCCCGACGAAGACTACGTGATTCCGCTGGAGTTCCCCGATCGGTCTCTACCGCCGCCGCCGCCGCTGCTGCCCAGAGTCGCGGTCGGGCAGATCCAGCGCCCGCGACTCCCAGTTCCGGCGAAGCCGCAGCAGCCGCAGCAGCAGCAGCAGGCGCAAGATCTGCAGCTGCGGCTGCTGCAACAGCTGCAGCGGGAGGGGGTCGCGCCCGCCTTCGATGTCGCCAAACCCCCCAGCAGGGACGACCTCATTAACAACTGTGAGTTGGTGACGATGACCTCGGCGCTGCCGACGACGACGACGACGTCATCGGCGACGTTAATCGTGATGACGGTGACGATGCGAACGAAGACGACGACGATGATGATGATGATGATGATGTTCACGACGATAATTGTGTTGATTATGACGCCATCGCCACCGTAGAACGCATCCGCTGCCTGCTGATTACCACGTGCCATCGTCCTAAACACCGTCACCGTCACCATCGTCACCACCATCATCATCCCCACCGTCACCACCAGCGTCATCACCAGCGTCACCACCATCATCATCACCATCTTCACCACCACCGCTGTCACCACCATCGTCACCACCATCACAACCATCGTCACCATCGTCACAGCCATTGTCACGACGACGATCATCACCACCATCATCACCACGATCATCATCACCATCGTCACCACCATCGTCACCACCACCATCATTGCCACTGTCTCCCCCACCACCCCCCAGACGGCTTCTCGCCCACGCTGAACCCCAACTCGGCGTCCCCATCGTCACCACCATCATCACCACCACCATCGTCACCACCATCGTCACCACCATCGTCACCACCGTCACCACCAACGTCACCATCGTCACCACCATCGTCACCACCATCGTCACCACCACCATCATCACCACCATCGTCACCACCATCGTCACCACCACCATCGTCACCACCACCATCGTCACCACCACCATCATCACCACCATCATCACCACCACCATCGTCACCACCATCGTCACCACCATCGTCACCACCATCATCACCATCACCATCGTCACCACCATCGTCACCACCATCGTCACCACCATCATCACCACCACCATCGTCACCACCATCGTCACCACCATCGTCACCACCATCGTCACCACCATCATCACCACCATCATTGCCACTGTCACCTTCTGCCCCCCCCCCCAGACGGCTTCTCGCCCACGCTGAACCCCAACTCGGCGTCTCCACGCCTCCAGCTGTCGCGCGACCTCCGCTCGGCCAAGCGCGTCGCCTACCCACAGCAGCTGGCACCGCACGCAGAACGCTTCGACGGCTGCCCGCAGGTGAAGAATGAAACAGCGCCAAGCTTGGCAGCGTATATTGAAGCTGGGTTGGAGGGGGGAAGAAGAGCGCCTTGACAAATATCAAGAGGAATTTAGCATATTTATGGGAAATGCGTAGGAGGTGGGCGGGGGGGTTTCAAAGTCATATTATGCCCGTGCATTATGCAGGATTAGCAGCATCAGGGGATGGGGGTAGCATTAACAAAGGGAAGGAATCTTCTTGGTTCTTTCGGTAAAGTCGCCATGTAGAAGGGAAGTAATAAAATCATAAAAATGAAACATAATGAAATAATTCTCACGACGTTTCGGCCACAACGCAAGCAGCCGTCCTCAGGTGAAGAATGAAACAGCGCCAAGCTTGGAGCGTATATTGAAGCTGGGTTGGAGGGGGGAAGAAGAGCGCCTTGATGAAAGAATTTGCATATCAAGAGGAATTTTACGTATTATTTACTGTTTTACTTACTGTCAGTAGCTCAGCTTATTGGAGAGTATATTTAGTATACTGATGATGCTATTTATGGGAAATGCGTAGGAGGTGGGCGGGGGGGTTTCAAAGTCATATTATGCCCATGCATTATGCAGGATTAGCAGCATCAAAGGGAGGGGATGGGGATAGTATTAATAAAGGGAAGGAATCTTCTTCTTGGTTCTTTCGGTAAAGTCACGTAGAAGGGAAGTAATAAAATAATAAAAATAAAACATAATAAAATAATTCTCACGACGTTTCGGCCACAACGCAAGCAGCCGTCCTCAGGTGAAGAACAGGTCTGTCGGAAAGACAGCGTCTACGTGACTTTACCGAAAGAACCAAGAAGATGAATACCCTGCAGTCACGAAAGCTTTAAATCGAAATTTTATTATGTTTTATTTTTATTATTTTATTACTTCCCTTCTACGTGACTTTACCGAAAGAACCAAGAAGATGAATCCCTGCAGTCACGAAAGCTTTAAATCGAAATTTTATTATGTTTTATTTTTATTATTTTATTACTTCCCTTCTACGTGACTTTACCGAAAGAACCAAGAAGATGAATCCCTGCAGTCACGAAAGCTTTAAATCGAAATGTATTAATATTATATAATTATATTATTTTATTATATTATTATGAAACTTTATTTTATTATTTTATTATTTTGTTGTGTTTTATTTTTATTATTTTATTACTTCCCTTCTACGTGACTTTACCGAAAGAACCAAGAAGATGAATCCCTGCGGTCACGAAAGCTTTTAATCGACATTTGCCCGCAGGTCCTCGCCGCCGAGAGCCAATTCTCGGGCCAACGCTACTGGGAGGTCAAGGTGGAGTGGGCACGCTGGTGCACAGTCGGTGTCGCGTACGGCAGCGCTCCGAGGAAGGGCCCGAGCGATGCCTGCGGCCTCGGAGTGTCCCCCGACGTCTCGTGGTGCCTGGAGAAAGACCGGGGTGCCTGTTTCTCGCGTCACAATGGAGCCAAGGTGCCCGGCGGGGCGAGGGCCAATCGCAATCTCAGGACAGTGGGCGTGTTCCTGGACTGGGCCGTGGGTATTCTGGCGTTCTACGACGCGGATTGCATGGAGCTGCTGCACGCGTTCAACACAGGTTCACGGAGCCTCTCTACCCGGCGTTGGGCATCAACCGTGACGACGATTCTGTGACGGTGCTCAACTTGGGGTCTTGATGGGGGAGGTTTGGTGGCTGGGGGGAGGGTGGTGGTGGTGGTGAGCGTGGTAGGGATTTTGGTTTGGATACGGTGCGGAGTGGAGTTGTGTGGTGGTCGGGGTGGAGTGGAGGTGGAGTAGGGGGGGTGGAGTGGGGGTGGAGTAGGAGTGGAGTGGGGTGGAGTAGGAGGGGGGTAGAGTGGGGGTGGAGTGAGGGTGGAGTGGGGGTGGAGTAGGGGGAGGTAGAGTGGGGGTGGAGTGGAGTAAGGGTGGAGTGGAGTGGGGGTGGAGTGGGGGTGGAGTAGGAGTGGAGTGGGGGTGGAGTGCTGCGGTGGGGTGAGTGTGCAGGGTGGAGGAGGAGTGAGGGTGGAGTAGAGTAGGGGGTGGAGTGAGGGTGGAGTGGGGGTGGAGTGGAGTGAGGGTGGAGTGGAGTGGGGGTGGAGTGAGGGTGGAGTGGAGGTGGAGTGGGAGGTGGAGTGGGATGGAGTCGGGGTGAAGTGGAGTGGGGGTGGAGTGGGGGTGGAGTGGAGTAGGGGTGGAGTAGGAGTGGAGTAGGGGTGGAGTTGGAGTGAGGGTGGAGTTGGGGTGGAGTAAAGTTTTGGTGGACTGAGGTGGGGTGGAGTCGAGTGGTGGAGTGGGGCGACGGTGGGGGGCGGTTGATTGAGGTGGAGCATCGGCCAGTCACCTCACTCAGTCAACCCATACCACCTGGGTCTGTTCCGTGACCTCCTGCCAGCAGCGAGCCTTCGACACTTCGCGTGACCTCGGAGTGCACCTAGCCTGGCACAAGCGCCGTGGTGTTGTCACCGCTACTTAGTGGTGGACAACAATTGTTGTGGTTGGGGGTGGTGGAGGTGGTTAGCGCTGCGAACCCGGCAGACGCCCGAGTTCGATTCCAGCCATGGCCACCACCGGTAGAGACGGTGATTATCTGGACCGGTGTCTGGGCCTCCCCTAGGTCAATTCAGCCTCAAGTGAGTGCCCGGTTCACTGGGGAAACAGAGGTGGTCGTGCGTGGTGGGGCTGGTTACCCCCTTCCCCCTCGTGTGCTGTGCCGGCCTTCATAGGTGCTCGCTAACAGCACTTGCCCCAACAGCCTGTTAAGGCTATACGGGGGACCTTTGTCTTTTGGGTGGGTGTGTGGATTGGAAGGGGAGGGAGTGAGTGGGTGGGTGAGTGTATTGGTGAGGGAGTGGATGTGTGAGTGTGTGGGTTGGGTGTGGGAGTGAGTGAGTGAGTGGGTTAGTCAGTGGGTGAGCGTGTGGTTGGGTTGGTGAGTGGGTGAGTGGGTAGGTTTGTGAGTGGGTGAGTGAGTGGGTTTGTGAGTGGGTGAGTCGGTGGGTTGGTGAGTGAGTGGATTGGTGAGTTAGTGGGTTGGTGAGTGGGTTGGTATGTGGGTGAGTGAGTGCGTTGGTGTGTGAGTGGGTTGGTGAGTTCGTGGGCTGGTGAGTGGGTGAGTGGATGGGTTGGTGAATGGGTGAGTTAGGGGGTTGGTGAGTGAGTGGATTGGTGAGCAAATTAGTGAGTTGTTGAGTGGGTTGGTAAGTTGGTGATTGAGTCGGTCGGTGAGTGGGTGAGTAGGTTTATTAGTGGGTGAGTGACTGGGTTGGTGAGTGGGTGAGTGGGTGAGTTGGCGAATGGGTGAGTGGCAGGGTTGGTGAGTGGGTGAGTGAGTGCGTTGGCGAGTGGGTGAGTGGTTGGGTTGGTGAGTGGGTTGGTAAGTGGGTGAGTGGGTTGGAGAGTGGGTGAGTCAGTGGGTGGGTGGGTTGGTGAGTGAGTGAGTGAGTGGGTGGGTGGGTGGGTGGGTTGGTGAGTGGGTGAGTGAGTGCGTTGGCGAGTGGGTGAGTGGTTGGGTTGGTGAGTGGGTGAGTGAGTGGCTTGGTGAGTGGGTGAGTGAGTGGGTGAGTGGATTGGCAAATTAGTGGGTGGGTTGGAGAGTGGGTGAGTGAGTGGTTTGGCGAGTGAGTGGCTGGGTGAGTGAGTGGGTTGGTGAGTGGGTGAGTGGCTGGGTTGGTGAGTGAGTGGGTTGGTGAGTGAGTGGGTTGGTGATTGGGTTGGTGAGTGGGTGAGTTGGTGAGTGGGTGAGTTGGTGAGTGAGTGAGTAGGTGAGTGAGTGGGTTGGTGAGTGGGTGAGTGGCTGGGTCAGTGAGTGGGTGAGTGGGTGAGTGAGTTGGTGAGTGGGTGAGTGAGTGGGTGAGTGAGTGGGTTGGTGAGTGGGTGAGTGTGTTGGTGAGTGAGTGAGTGAGTGAATGAGTGAGCCAAGTGAGACTGGTATCGTCTCGTGGCTATATGCAATAAAAAAAGTTACGTTTCAAAAAACAACTACAGGAAATGTAGCAAATGCAAATCTAGGCATTGGAGGATAAATCGAAAACCCTTGCACAATCTTAAATCTATAATAACGTGAAATAAATATCCTATAACAACACTGTTGGGTTTGGCCTACTTATTTTTTGTTATCATCATCATCAGTTGTCTCATTCTTCACCTGAGGACGGCTGCTTGCGTTGTAGCCGAAACGTCGTGAGAATTATTTTATGTTTTATTTTTATTATTTTATTATTTCCCTTCTACGTGACTTTACCGAAAAAACCAAGAAGATCATCATCATCACCATCAAATCATCATCATCAGCAAAACTCGGGGGCACAATTTGCAATTCGTAAAAGAAAGCGAATTCTATTGCATCATGACGTCATCATGACGTCATCCCCCTCCCCCACCGCTATCCCCTCCCACCCCCCACCGCGATGAACGCACAGGAGAAGTGACGTCATGAGCCACCTGCCTCTGGCGTGACGTCATCGCGAGGGGTGGGGGGAGATTTGGGGGGAATCCCCCTCGTGACGTCACTCGCATGACGGGGGGGGGGGTGAATTGCCGAGGCTTCGATTCCTTCCACACGTAATCGATTCTCTCACCCCGCCACCCCGCCCGTTATTTACGAATCGATTCCAGCAAAACGTTACCGCCGTTGGTGTTAGATTCCACACGCGGCGATGCCGATTTAACGCATTCGTAGAATCGATACCGGAATCGAGGAATCGATCCGTCTCTTTTTTTTTCGTCATCCGCTCACTCGGGGCGGAGATTGCGCGTGACGTCACCGGAACGTGCGGGTGGGGGGGCCGTCAGCCATCTATGTAGGGATAGATAACCCGCTGTTTGGTGAGTGGCGGGCATCTTACGTAGGGATAAACAGACAGGTGAGTGGCGGCCATCTTACGTAGGGATAAACAGACAGGTGAGCGGTCAGCCATCTTACGTCGGGGTAACCCGATTTTTGGTGGCGGGTGGATGGCGGCCATCTTACTCAGGGACTCCTCGCGTCACTCCCCACCCCCCACCGCCCCATTGACTTAACATGGGCGCTACCCCTTACCAACATGGCCACCGCAAGTTTTTTTCTCCGCCTGATGAAGACAATTTGCGTTACGATCGAAACGTCGTGGGTTTTTTTAACTTTTATTTAGTTTGAAAAATTTTCAATTTTATTTCTAATTTCATTTTGCATTCATTTTATTTTTTTTGTAATTTTCTATCTACGTG